ACAAATTCCTGCATTTGCAATGACTACCTGTTCATTCAACAGAAACGATAGAAATTGTTTGAACAATGACAAAAATAAATATTTACATCGAGACTTCCAAGTTTTTGAACAACTTCTTCCATCATTTCTTCGACTTTTTCACTTTTGGACACATCAGCGATAATCGCAATTGACTTTCGACCTATTGTTTCGATTTCTTGTCGAACTTTTTCCAGATCAGAATGGTTACTTTCGATATCATTAAGAGCAACATCGAAACCATCTTTCGCGAGACGAAGAGCAATTGCACGTCCGATACCTCGAGATGAACCAGTTACCAAAGCTGTACGATTCATTTTTGAAAACTGATAAATATTTTTATCAACGAAAGGCAGTTTGAATTTTATTCTATATACGTTGTAGAAATGAAGAATAAGATAAAACAACATGACCTTATCAATAAATAAAGAAAAACTTCAACGATGAGGTGTGTTGATCTATTTGATAAGAAAGGACAAACAAAGATTTGTTTTAACAAGAAAAAATGAAAGCCGTAAAGAATTTTGAGATCTTCTCACTGACTTACAAAATTATGCGAACGAATAGAAATTACAGATTTATTCCATAAAATGTTCATGTCATTTAATTGATCCGGTGCACTAACATACATTTATGGCCTATTTGTAATACTTTATAAAAAAAATTTTTCTCTGTTCTGATTTAATAAAGAAAAATAGCCTGAGATATTATATAAGACAATGAATTCATTATTTTTTCATTCTTTTTATCGAACATGAAACATTTGCTGTGAACATGTCCAGCTCTTCGATAATTTTCCATTGATTCAACAACAAACTATTCGTTCTGTTTTTTGGTCATACCTTTTCTGTTGTTTGCAAATAGTCCCGGCGAGAGATATTCATTGTTCTGTTTAATATTTTCTCAAAAATCATTATGTAAAAGTTCTTGTTCAATATATTTTCTTAGCTTATCAATAACAAATTAACTTTTACTTGTTAATGCTGTTTGCACTCGTTTCTATTTTTATTGATGACATCTCGAACATACATTTGTTTTCACGTATATTGATCAATTTTGTACATGTTCATCAAACTTTTTCAGTTTTTTAGTTAATTCTCACTTTATATATTTCAATCTTTAATAGAATTTAATCATAATGTTGTATTACGCCTAGAAATTATTTATTTATATATAATATTTAGAATAGAAAAAAGTTTCACTGTACGTGAACCCAGATCGAACAATCCCATACTCGGATCCCATGTCGGATCCGAAACATGGATTTTCTAAGGGTCATCATAGAACATAGCTAAAAAGATCGCTGATAAAATTTGCAACAATCGGCGGGATTTTTCTAGTCGGATCCAGCATCAGATTTGTTGGCCTGGGTTTAATATGAAAAGTTGGATTCGCGATTTCTGATTGTTTAAATTTATATATTATATAATGTTTCTTAGTCGATCTTTAAACCTAATAAAGACACATTCATACACAAAATGATTTCTTTTCTACAACGAATCCAATTTTTGTGTAATAATCATCAATTTCCTCATCTCAACACTCTTAATTATAAAATAATATTTGATAGAAATAATCTTACCTGAGATATTCTCAATTCTCTCTGTCATATATTAACACTTATTCGTTTTCATTTAGATATATTTCTTATTTCTGCACATCACTG